ATTCCAGAGAGACTAACTAAAGCAATTTCTACAGAACAAAAAGAAGATGCTTTGACTCAAATCCGTAACAGCTGATATCCAGGGCTCCAGCTTGGCTATTCTTACATCTGCGACAGTGATTAACCAGGGTGCTTTTTTCAATATCTATTTTATTATTGCATTAAATAATATGGGCCACCAAATGCTGCAGTCTGGCTGGGCACAAAATCACGAGCCACTCACAGCCTTGTAGATTCAAACAGCAATTCTTTATTCCCGAACTCACACCAGCACTCTACACACGTGCTGGGGGCATCCACATTCTGGGCAAAATCCAACACTCCACTGGGCTCTGAATCCCGCGAGAACTCAATGGGAACTCAAGGAGCAGGCGCGCCTGAGGCAGCAGGATACGCCCTATTCCCAGCAGGGTACACCTTAAACCTGGAACCACCCTAAACCCAGATTGTCCTAAACCTAGAACGCCCTAAACCCCGATCCGCCCTAAACCCGGATCCGCCCTGGTCCTTGAGCAAGGTCACATAACATGCAATGTCACTGCAAATGACCTGGGTCATGCCATGCGTCATTCTTACTTAGCAATGGCCCTCAGCAATAACTGAACATGAAGCTGTGTTTCCCTGGGAGTCAAGGCTAAGTCTGTCTCTGTAAGCATCATTGCAAGTGTTCCTTGGCCTGTGCTTCCCAACACACTGTCTTCTCCAGTTCTGAGTTCCTGGTGATCTGGTCTTGCTTTTATGTCCTACCTATGCCCTGGTCCAATTTATAACTCTTCTTTGAGGGATACACACACACACAAACACACACAAAAAATGATTATCTGAAACTATCTCAAAATCTGTGATTTCCAATGCATGTATGTGATCCTGGGAGATCACCTAGTTCAACCTGTCCAATTTCTAGGTTAAACAATTGTAACCCACATTTCCTGAGTTTTTCCCTATGAATCTATGACTATATTACACTCTGTGTTTACAGAACTCCACTGACACACAAAATGACTCCTTGGCATTCCTTTTCACAGAGGGGAAAAAGGAGGTAAGATAACTTGCCCAAGACCAAACAGCTTTTTTGCTATTTGAGGACACTGAAAATCTCCCACAGGACCACTGTGTGACATGTTTTCCTACAGCTTAGACAGAGTATGAATTTTTGGCAGAAACTGCTTTTCAGTGTTTGTTTTTTCAAGCAGCATACATGTGGTTCCATCACCGTAGAGTATCTTAATAAAAACAAGATACTTCTATAGCTGTACCTGGCTTTGTCTCCCAACCTGCATTCCTCCTAGGTATTCAATCTTCAAATAACAGCCTGCTTTTGACATTTATAAACTGAGAATATAGATTTTCATCCCATTAGGCTATTTTTTTTTCAGAATCTAATAGATTTAATAGACTATAAAGTAAAAATGGCACGGTCCAAGGCTGTAAACACTCAGGCAATATGAGAGTACAGGAGGTGTCCACACCAGAATTTCTAACTATTGCTGCTAATTAGTCTAGGAATGTTCATAAGACACTTCTCAGAAATCTAACCATGTGTACTCCCTCCCTTCACCTTGTAGATACATTTGAGTATCTATCCCCACTCTCTGGGGCCTCTTCTTTACTCTCTTTTTCCACTTACCAATTAAATCCCTCTACCAGACAATTAGCTCATGACCTAACCTGACTTCAACAACCCACTGAATTGTGGATCATGGCAGTAGTTTGAGTTCACAGGCTACCCGAGTCAGGACACAGAGCCATGCTAGGTTGCCTTGTCACCTTCTGGACCTCATTGTTTCTAGGTAAATCCTCCACCTTCCTGCAGAGTGGTGTCTTCAGGGGCTTCTAGATATATATTCAACTTGACTCCTGAGACAAATAAGGTTATGTCTTTCAAAGTATAAAGCAGTCAGTCTTTCCATTATGATCCATCCCATGACTTTCCTCAAATTATTAACTGACAGCTCAGACCCAGTCTCAGTGAACAGAGGAAGGATCATGATATGAACTGACTGACAATGGAGTACACTGGGACCTGCAAAGTCATCCTGCATGTGACTTAGGACGCTCTGCTTTTAGAGCTCCTCCTGTGGTAGCTTCATGTTCTTACACTGAGTAGTGCAGCCAACATCCCCAGATGCTTTTCAGAAAATAGATCCAAGGTTTATCAAATTTGCAGTTAGTGGGTATCCCAAAGACAACGTGCAGATATAACTGAAGTTAGTTCAGGCCATAATAAAGAACTTTCATTTCAGGACATGATCATGACTACAGCAGCAACATGAAAACTCTAAACTTCAGAGATGTGACGTTCAAGAAGAGAGACTTTGTCTACCAAGGCTCAGCCTCCCATCATGCTTGTGCTCAACCTGCTTCAGCTCTGAATTCTCCAGGCTCCTGGCTTCTCTACAGAGCCTGCCCTCAGAGGCCACAGGGGGGCATGTGAAGAATGGGCAGAAGCAGAGAGGCAGGGCTCCTCCCAGCACCACCCCTTCTGGGTAAATAGCTGGGTTGTCTTCTCAGTTACTTCACCCTGCCTCTGACTCAGTCAGGAGGATCAGCTGAGGCTTTTCTTCTCCTCTTATCATTGCATCCTCTTCCTTCAAAGCCCCAGGGAAGAAGGCATGCTGTGGGCTCTAGTCCTACTTCTAGCCACCCTGCTTCCTGGTAAGTATGTGGCACAGATGCCCATGGGATATTGTTTTCTCCCAAAGAGGACAAAACAATGAATTCCATTACCTCTTCGCTATTAATTTTTATTGTTGTTACCATTCCAGGCAGTCAAACATCTTCCAGTTTGGAAGGGAGAATGATGTCAGTCACGAGTTCACCTGGGTCGTATGTGGTAATCACTTGTGATTTAGCAAGTACCTACATCCACTGGTATCAATTCAAAGAAGGGCTAGCCCCACGACGCCTTCTCTACTATGATTTTGTAAATTCCAAAGTTGTACGGGATTCAGAAAGCACTTTGGTAAAATATGATGCTTATAAAGGCACAGATGGGAGATGTAAATTAGCAATACGAAATGTGGAGGAAAGTGACTGTGCTGTGTATTACTGTGCCTACTGGACTAGCACAGTGGTTCAGACCTGCCTTTATCTGTACTCAAAAGGTTGCTATGTCTGCTCCTTGGTACACAATTAGATGAGCTCCCATCCCATTTCCTGCCCCTGGCTTCACTGTAAACTGAACACAGGGAAATCATGAGCTCAAAGCCTAAATCCCATCCTATCTATGCTGTGGGCTCTAGCCCTACTTCTAGCCATACAGACCTTGGTAATTATGTGTCATAGATATTCATGGGGTGTATTTTTCCCCCTTTGGCAAGCCTTACTAAAGAATTCATATGCCCTATACTCATTAATTTTTGTTGATGTTATCCCTGTAGGCAGTCAAATATCTTCCAGTTTGGAATGGAGAATGCTGTCAGTCACCTGGATTCAAATGTGGTAATCATCTGTGAATTTCATGAAGCAAGGAAGGGGTACCTCACCATGTCTATCTCAGTACCCCCTCAACATTTTACATGGCCCCTAACTGACTCCCAAACCAATCTCTCATCTTTGGTCAAGCATCCCGGCTGACAGCATCATTCTCTCAGCTCTCCTAGAGCCTAGTAGAGGAACATTCAATCTGGTAAGAACACAAGGTCATTTACGGTTGATCACCTAGAGGTGACATTTAGGAGAGCATTGTGGAAGGCTTGTTGTATGGTGTCATTTATCCAACTAGGTTCTACAGATAATATTTGGGTATGACTCTGATTCATTACTCAGGATATGAGAAAGGATAGAATAAAATATTTAGGCCTCATGAAGACTTCATGCCCACAGTCATAATTGTTTCATTTCAATTTCTGACTTCATCTTACATTACCAGATTGTTAAGGTTGAGATTCTTCAGACTATCTAAATTTCACTCATGATTGTAAACATCTCTTTCTTATTCCTAACATTAATGGAGATGTATCTAATACTTCATTATGTTCTCTAGGGGTTTTTGAATATGACCACCTACATCAAAGGAATTGGGATGTTTTTAATAAAACAAAGTGTAGGTAGAACCCAGCACAATGAGTTGAAACTAGGAATGGAAGCTGGGAATGTACACTTTTTAAAAATTCCCACTTCTGGAACATTAAAACTGACCTTCAATCACTGCTACCCAACAGGTAAGACAAGGAGGGACTGTCCCCAGCCTGACACACCCAGCTGTTCTACAAAGTTGCTCCTGGGCTCCCTGTTGACTCCCACACCCTCTTCTGATCTCAGCCTTCTGTGCTGCCTTTGCCATCCCTGGCTGGTCATCCTCAACCAGGTCAAACTTTCATTCCTTTTCTTCCTGTGACCTCAGGAAGAAAGCATTGTGTCCTCCACCGCTTGTGTTAACTTGCTGTGCTCTGCCAGGAACCACATGGTAACCATTTCATACCTTAATAAAGCCTGTCCCTCATCTTGAAGCATAAACACATTTGTATCCTTCCAAGAGTGTGATGATTTTGCACATTGAAATCTTTCATCTGCCAGAAATTGAGTACTTGTGTATGGGGAAGGTGGGGCTCTTATGTGGAGAGCCGATTTCTCCCCTAAATTCCTGTCTGATGCCTGCTACCCCACCGTTTCTCAGCACCACCTTTGCGATGGTGAGTGTGACATGTGCTAATATAGCCCTCATTGCTTTCTCATTTCCACCGTGCATGTTTGCCTGTCCTTTGGCCACCTTTGCTCAGGATGCAGCCAGAGGCAAGTCACTAAACATGAACACCATCAACTTGACAAGTGCGCTGAGTCCCTACTTTTTGTATCCCTTTGCTAGGAGCACAATGTTTTCATTTCCATAGCTTTATAATAATTGTGATTTTTGACAGGTAAATTGTTTTGCTCTATTGCTCCCCTCACCACAGACAAAATAGAAACCCCAGAGGGTTGCTCCTAATAATCCCACTCCTCAAGAAACACCCTATTTGTCTACAGTCACCCCCCAGTTAATCTTTATCAAGGGATTAACACTCTGATTATGTTAAGGTTCTGGTAACTCAACCATTTCTCTTTTAACCACTCTTGCATTGTCTCACACATCATGAGCTTTTGGGGTGACCTCTTATCTTACCATAACAGAGTAGGTGTTCCAGTCCTCCCTCAGCTACTCCTTGTCTTGTGATATTGAAGAAGTCACCTGCATTTCTTTTCTCCTCTTCACAATGAGTCACAGAAAGGCCCCTGGAACAAGACCTCCCTTCTGTATTCAAGTGTCTAGCCAGGTGGGAATTTATAGTGCACTACCTATGATTTTTTTTAAAGGTGTTCCTGATTTCTCATGTGTTAGGAAAGCTATTAAGTAAAAATCAGAAGACCAGTGGTGCTGTTAAGGATGTGGAGAAAAGGAAATTGTTCAGACACTGTTCATATCAACATAAATTAATGTAGTCATTACGGAAAATCTTGTGGAAGTTCCTCATTAAACTAAAAGCAGAACGTCTAGTAGGTGTGAGGTAGAGGAAACAGGCAGACAGACTGGAAAATGGTGAGGACTGATGTCAGGACCTCCTTTTGAGTTATGCTCCACTGTTTGATGTGCTGTAGGTCGACAAACAAAAACATCTTTTCACAAAAAGGAAAAAAGACTCCATTTTTACAATAAAGACAACTTCGATATTCAGCCTGAGCACACACATGACAAATAAAATCTCAAGATCAGATTCCATGGGTCAGTCAACAAGGTCCCACACTTAGCATTTGGATCTTCACACAGGGTCCCTGTGAGTCCTATTCTGCTCTTACCACCCTCTACATGGCCACCCCAAGCAGCCTGACATCTGTGTCTACCAGAGTGGTTTCCTCGGGGACTACAGCTTCTTGACACAGTTTGGGAGCACATGTGTTCCCTCATTCAACCCCATGGTTCTCTTTTACTGGAAACCCTGAGGGTCTTGTTGAGAATCTACTGACCCTTGCTAAAGGCCTAGTAAGCCCACCCTGGCTCCTCTTGGGCTGCATCTTGCCCAACCAAGTATGGTGCCTCAATAGTTTTTATATTTGTGTCTAACATGATGAATATGGCCTACTCCATCTGAAGGCGAGCACAGAAATGTTATACCAGGAAATGTAATGGAAGAAAAAAAGTTTTTTAAAAACTTTGTGGCTGCAGATTTCATGCAGATTTTATTAAGTAATCAATAATAAGAGTGATAATAACAATTGAAACAATTGTGAATGCTGACAACAAAATAAAAAATCTGTTTTTATAACACGATTGGTGGCAATAGTTTTTATCCCCCAAAGAAATATTTTATCATAGCTGGAAATCTTAAAAATAGAAAAGAAAAAAAATTGCTGTTTTCTCACCACTCCATTGCTCACCATCTATATTGCATGTCTTCCTATGAGTTATTTCACTCTGCCAACATTGGCCCAGCTGTAAATTTCACATTTGGACTTGATGTGTACAGACGAGGTAAATGTTAGTACCAGAATATTCTTTATCAAAACATTTCATTAGCTTTATATCTGACCACTGAGTCACTAAATCAGCACAACCCAAAGCCTGCCTCAGGAGACACAGGAAACTGAACCTCAGTTGCACTGACAAACCTGGTTCTCAGGTTCTCCCAAGAAGAGGAGCTCAGGTTCTAGATCTGGTTGTGAGAACCCAAGGACCCAACACTTCATTTCAGAATCAAGCCCCCTTCTTCTATGCCCACCACATTCTCCTTGTTGCCATTTGCCTGAATACTTAGAAGGTCCTATGAGCAATTGACATAACTGAACATGAACCTGCATTTCCCCTGGAGTCAAGGCTAAGTCTGTCTCTGCAAGCATCGTTGCACATGTTCCTTGCCCTGTGCTTCCCAACACCCATCTTCTCCAATTCTGAGTTCCTGGTGACCTGGTCTTGCTTTTATGTCCTACCTGCCCTGGTCCAAATTAGGTCTCTTCTTTTGGGGATACACACAGACACACACAGACACACACACAGAAACATCACCTGATTATCTAAAACCATGTCATAATCTGTAATTTTCACTGCCTGTGGTCCCCAGAGATCATCTACTGCAATCTGTCTAGTTTTGAGGTTAAACAATAATAATCCACATTTCTTGAGAGTTTTCCATATACCTATGACTATATTACACACTTTATTTACAGGATTCCACTGACACACAAAGCAACTCCCTGACATCCCTTTTCATAGAGGATAAAAGGAAGCAAAATAACTTGGCCAAGACCAAACAGCTCTTTTGCTATTTGAGGGCACTGAAAATCTTCCACAGGACCACTGAGTGACTCACTCCCAGACAGCTCAGATAGTGTATGCATTTATGGCAGGAACTGCTTTTCAGCACTTATATTGTCCCAAGGAAAGCAGCTCACATGTGGCTCCATCACTGTATAGAGTCTTCATAAAGGCAATGTACTTCTACAGCTACATCTGGCTCCGACTCCCAACCTTCATTCCTGCTAGGTGTTGAGTCTCTGACAAGTTACTTCAAATAGCAGTCTGCTTTTGACATTTCTAGCCTGAGGATATTGATTTTTATCCCACATAAGCTACTTTCAAATCTAATAGAGAAAAGATCATAAACTGGTAATGACACTGCCCAAGCCCCTGCATAATCAGGAGGCATGAGAATGCAGGAGGTATCCCACCAGCACGTTTCACTATTGGTGCTATAGTCTAGGAATGTTCATAAAATATTTTTCAGAAATCTAACCATGCTTCCTCCCCTCCTTCACCTGGTGGATAGGTTTTTGTATCTATTTCCTCTCTCTGGGGCCTCTTTCCCTCTCATATTTCTCTTACCAAATAATTTGTGTACCAAAGAATTGTCTCAGAACCTCACTGGGCCTCAACTATCCTTTAAGTTATGGCTCATGGCAGCAGTTTGAGACCATGGGTCACCGTGAGCTCTTGTCCCCCTGGTCAGGGTATGAAGCCATGCTTGGTTGCCTTACTTTCTTTCTTTCTCAGAAAGATATTTAGAAGAAAGTGACTCTGCTGTGTATTACTGTACCTAGTGGACTAGCAAAGTGGTTCAGACCTGCCTTTATCGGTATTCAACACGTTACTATGTTTGTTCCTGGTACACAGATAAATCAGCCCCATCCCATTTCCTGCCCTGTCCTCATTGTACACTCAACAAAGGGAAACCATGAGCCCAAATCTAACTCCTACTCATCTATGTGGTGGGCTGTACCCCTATTCTAGTTGTTCTGCCTCCTAGTAATGATGTGTCATAGATACTCATGGGATGTATTTTTCTCCCCATTGGCAAGTCATCGTAAAAAATTCACATCTCCCTTACTCATTAATTTTTTTTTCTTCTCCAACCCTTTCCATTTTCCTTTATCACTTTCCAGTGGCTTCACCTAAATGAGAAACAATTTACAAGACCAATTCATGAGAAAACTTATAAATAATCAGGTGACACAAAATCTATGGTCAAACTCCAAAGAAAGCCAGAGGATCAACCTGCCCAGGCAAGGTTGCTGAACTGCTGGTCAGGTCATGAAGCTTGGGAGGAGGCTGAGATTTTTTGAAGACAATTTAGCTAATGTTATAGTGAAGGCTGCATCAAGATATTTGTGGGAAGGAATAAATTCATAGCAATTCCTCTTGGTAAGCAACATTTTCTATTTTATTCTAGTAACATAAAATGAATAGACTTTTTTACTTAAAAATAATAACTCAAAATCAATCTTATCTGTCTCTGCCTCATTCTTGTCCTCAGAGCATGATCGACCATTCTTTAGGTCTGGGCTGCTAGATATGGAAACAAAATCATTTCGTAGACAGTTTCTTCTCTTCCTCATCAGTAACTGGATTGAAGGTGTTTATTTAGAATGTATACACACACAAAGGATAGCCTCAGTGTAAAAATTAAAATATTTTAAGAACCATTTCTATGTACTAGGGTGAATTATTGCTTTAAAAAGCCTTTTTTATAGAAGGCATTTTACATTAAAATCATCAAACAGGTTTTCATTACTTGTCTTCTCTGTATTTTGAGATTTGACATAGTATTCTCCATATAACCTGAAAAATCTATATTCTTGATTTTGTACTCACCCCTAGAAATAGTAGTAATAGTAATAATAATAATAATTCTTACAGGAAACTGCTATAGAACATTAATAAGTCTCATTTTACGTTTCCGTAGTTCATTAGATGGAAGATCATTATTCGAACTCTATGCCACAGTGATTCTTGTTATATTGCCTGCAGATGGCACAGATGACAGAAATTTGCTTGTTCACGAACCACTTCAATCCAAGGTTTTCCATTCTCATTTGCTCATGCATTCTCTCTCCAAACATGTACTGAAGATGGGTTTGGTGTTGAATGGTGGAGATAAAAGTGTAGATAATACACATGCTCAATACTCAAAAACTTCCTGGCCCATGGGTGAGTGTTGCTAGGTTTTGTCTTGATTGGGCTTCACTATAGCTTTTGCCTCTGACTTCCAGAGAGGCCTGGAGGTCTTGAGTTGAGCTCATTTCCTAATTTGTGTGGAACTTATGGCTTATAAACTCCAAATATAGAATGAGCATACTAATCCAAAAATCAGAAATTAATTAAAAAAAATTCCAGCCTCTGAAATGAAACACTTCTGTTCTTCAATATTCTGAATAAGTGATATTCATATTGACAAGTGGTATTGTATTTGGCAAAAGAAGTTAATGTAATGGCCCAATACCATTAAATTAAAAAGAAATATAATATTTTAGGTGAAACTTTTTTTGTGGGCCAGATATCATGCTAAAGACTTTCAGTGTCTACTTTCAACACTCAACAGCTGTATATAAGAAAACCTCTCATTTCTTTTTCCCAGTGAAGGCTCAAGAAGTGTGATTACTTCCCAGTTCCAGGACCTGCAATTGTGGCAAAGTTTGAGACTCGGTGGAGACTTGTGACTCCAAAGCACTTGGTCTGGATCATAATATTATTTTGCAAAACTAGTCCTGTTGTGATATTCTTCTGTTTCTTGTCTTTATATGGGCACTTTAATTGACTACTTAGTAACAGCTCACGATGTATATTACTACTTATGTATGAAAACAATGTTTCTGCTTTTAATCATGTCACTGTATTGCTCCTCTCTCCCAAAAAGATATCATGGAAGTCATACCAAATATGCATTCCTTACTTTGTAGGTCAGAGCTGCCTTGATACTCAGGCTGTGAAAGATGCAGTAATACTCACTGGTTAGGATCCTCTGAAGGGTAGTTTCAATGCTCTGGATGCTCCAGTAGGTATTTTCATGTCAAGAGGATCAGTCCTTTTCAGCAAGAAATTGTTTAAGGGCTCATCATTATGTTTTGCCATTCTGGAACAGCTCATCAAGTCTCCTATCAAGGGGAACTGGATTGTAAAAAGAAGTTACTTCACAATAAAGCCAGATGTTTATTCTTGTACACATACGAAAAACAAAATACTGATGTATTACGTTAAATATATGTTTATTGTTTGTATGATTATTATGATTGGTTGTCTTTGAAATTAAAGAGATAGGAAATATCTTCCTATTTATATTTACTTTCTTAATTGATTGGTCTACAAAATTAAAAATTATATTGACAAAAGTAGCAGTTGAGAGAAATATTGCATTTTTCATCTTTCCATTCAATTAGGAATTTTTGTTCAGGCTTCATCTGGAAGAAAACTCATAACATTCTCAATGTTCTAAATCATTCAGGTATGCATGGTGGCGACACTGGATACTGTCCCTTCACAAAGCAATGGGAAAGCATTTGCCTATTCATTATTACTCTACAAAGGTGTGAAATAGTATAAACTTTAGAGACCTTAGTCCCAAGTTATAATTACTAATTCATATTAAATTCCTTCACTATTTTTTCTTTTACCAGTGCTGTCTCCAAAAATAGCATTAATTGAGGTTTATTTTAGGCTGATATCTTATCCATGTTGGATTTTTGGATCAGAAGGCTGGAAGAACGTCTTATCATATAAGAGGTTTCACAAAGGCTATGCCATAAGGCCCCCTGTATTGCCTGTCTTATGCCTCTGTTTAACCATAAGATAACCCCCCATATTGGAATTGTTTGGGGAAAGAAAGCCTCTTATTTTCCTGTACTGTCACCATGTTTAAATTCAACATGTCTTCATCTCTATCACAGAACTAACAAACATTTGCATCAATACTCTGATCCTTTGGGCCTCAGCAGATTGGGTCTACAGAAAACACATAGAAACCTGAGATGGCTTTGAGGACCAGGCCTCCTGCCCTTTCTCTGGTCATTGTGCCTTGAAGGTTCAAGCCAACAGTTGGAAGCTGCATTTTAGCATGAGCCGAACAAAAAACATTGAGACTGAGTATTCTGTTGAAAGCTAGAATTCATGTCATGTATCTTGCTACTACTGATTGGGAAAAGAGCCATTATTTTGCACAACACACAGGAAGCCTTTCCACTCACTGACTGCTTATAGTGCTATCGAATCCACTGACATTCTCGTCATTGTTTTAATATAAATAAAACACCAAAATCTTTAAAAGTTATTTGATTTGCTCATAGATCCTGTTATGAGCAAAATTAAGCAGGACCATAACCCTATTTCTTAGGAATTCCAGACCATCATTTGCCATTATAATTTAAAGAACTCAGGGAAGCCACACACATCATACAAAAACCACAACGTTTTTGGTATGGGTAGAATCACTGTGGAATTATGAGAAGGTCTTTGGTGTTGGAACCAAACTTGTTGTCACAGGTGAGTAACAGAAGAATACAATATTTCCAAGGTAATGAAGGGAAGGCAAGAAATGATTCTACCAGAATAACATTATGAATGTTTGGAGAAAAGAGGAGAGTGAGGGAGTTTAATGTGGAAATCTTAGGAGAGATTTTAATACACATTCTTAGCTAATGTACATGATAGACAATATTGTGCAAATACTATAGTAGGATTCGTCTTTGTAGATATGTGAACTTCTATGGATGCTCTTATATAATGATATTATTTAAGTATTTGACACTGGGACAAATGTTATTATTATATACAAGTCAGAGATAGACTCAGTGGACTAGACACATTCCTTGTCCTAGTGGTTAAAACTTTGGGGAAGAGACAGAAGATTTCAGGTAGGTCCACCTGGATCTCTGGTTCCTTCAGAGCTTAGTGAGGTTTGGCAATTATTTTGACCTCAGTTTTCTAATTCATAATAAGGGGTAATAGTATGAACTTAATAAAGTTATGTTAGAACTGAATGAGATAATGAGAAGAAAGTTCTTGGTACATTACACAACACATAATAGATACCCTGTAAATTTTCTTCCAATTCAAACATGAAGTGAGTATCATTTCCACTATGGAGAGATGTTTTGATCCAATAACATTTACTACAGAGCAGAAAATTTCCAGAGGACTCAAGTATAGTTCTAACTGCTGCAATGAAGGTTGCTTTAACATTTGCTCACAGAAAAAAAGAATTAATCTGCAGGTATTTAAGCTTTTTGTTTAAGCAGAATTTATCACTTGTTAATAAAAATAACACTAAAATGTGTTTAAAGAATTTCTGTTGTTATACATGTTCTGAAGTTTAGACCTTTATCTCAATTGAGCATGTCTCTTACATCAATATTTATTTGTCCTACAGTTTATAGCCAATAAGATTACTCTTTTGCATCTTTGTCAGAAAAAAAATTAAATTCACACAGAAAATGGTCAATATATAAAATAAATGAAACCATTAGAATCATATCACAAATCTAAAATGCATATTGAACATGAAATAGCTATTACAACTTAGTTGATGAAATAGAAACAAAAAATAGACTATATTTAAATAAAATATCACATGTAGTTTTGAAATATAACTTCAGTAGTTAATTCAGTTTATATTTGATAAACATATGAAATTCAAATCACTACATCTTAAAATACAAATTAGGTAATATTATTAGGCAAATTAATGTGGGGATAGGAAAGATAGCAGAATGAAACAGACATTATTACTGTATGTATATATGTGAGTACATGACCAATATGATTCTGCAACATGTACACTCAGAAAAATAAGAAATTATATCCCATCAATGTATGACATATCAAAGTGCATAAATGCATTCTACTGTCATGTGTAACTAATGAAAACAAATTAAAAAATGAATTATAAAGGTTTACTGACTTTTTAAATAATATATGTGGTAGTCATTCTATTTACAACTATCATTTTATGTATTGTTAAAAAATGTTTGACCCTGAAAATAGTTGTAATATAGATATCTAAAAGTAATACTTTAGAAGAGCATATAATATAAGAACCAGACCATAGGTACTAACTGCATATAATCAAGTACACTATTTAATGCTTAGTCAACTATTATTGAGAAGGTTATGGAATTTCAAGATTCATTTTATCCTTAAAGCATGAAATTTAAACTATAAAGGAAAAAGGAAAAACGTGATAATGGTGGGAAACTGTTCACAAATGTTTTCCAATCATCATTTAAGTTTCAATTTCTTCATTATAATGAATCAGAATATTGCCCATGTTGTATAACCACATGTCCCTTACATGAACATTAGAGTTCTTAACATATTGATTTTGAATAAAATTATACAAATATAATCAGTTGAAAATTGAAGTTGAAATTTTAGTCTTAAATTTTATAACATGCATTTTAAACTACAAATAATGTATATAGTTGGGTAAATGTATAGTCTCTTACTGTTTGTGTTAAAGCAAGCTGAGTGAAATTTAAAAAGTACACTAGGACCCAATAATATTTATAAAATGTCCAAGAAGATGAATATCTTATGCTTTCTGATTTTGTGTAAAAGTGAGGAGCTTTGCTACACAGACAGAAATCAAGAACTTTTGAGCCTGTCTTCTTAAAAGTGAAATCCAATTCTTCTTTTCTTAAGAAATTGCCTGTTGAATTATTATAACTTCATACTGGACCAAACGGAGTATTTGTAAAGTATTCTAATTTTAATTGGAAATCAACTTGAAATCATTTCATCATTTACATTAAGTCCTTAGTTAAAAATAAATTTAAAACTAGCTAACATCAGATATACATGTCATGTCATTGTAAACTAGTGATGCTTTTTTGTATGTTTTGATATTATATCTGTGACAGACTCTTGAACCATTACTTTTAATCTTACACCAATTATATATGCACATTATTCATCAAGTTAAAATGAAGAGAATAATGGAAGATCAGAACTCAGATGTCAGATATAAGTTTGATACAAACTTTTGGACCCAAACACACGGGTAATGACATGGGACCCTCTCCCTAAACTAGTCACTTCCTATCAAAGCAAGCAAGAAAATACCCCTGGGGTATCAGCAGTGATGCTTGAACTTCATAAGAAATTTAAAATAAAATCTGCTTTTGACAAACATTTTCAAAAGCAATAGTTTTGATAAGCACATTACTTGACAAGATTAACATAATAGAATTTTAGAAATAACAATACAAACTTTTACTAAGAGTTTTGAAAATGTTGCTATTTTGTTTCAAAAATCAAGACACTGTGAAATTTGGAAGTACAGGGTTAAATACTTCCCAACCCAAAAGCCTGGAGTAGTTCACATGTGAATGTGAGATGTTGTAAAAGATTAGAAATTAGTTAGGAAAACCCAAAAAGCTTCAGATCTGGGCAAGGGATATACATTTGAATCTGAGAGATAGACATCAAAAAGTAAGTCTTCACAGAAATAACTGTTCAGTAAAATAAGTGACAGTGTATTATTAAAAAACATACACACACAAAAAAAGCCCATCTCCTGTCACTTATTCATATGAGAAATAAGATAAATAATGTGCATTCTAGAATCAGCTAAATGAAGACAGGCTTTCACAATATCACAGAGCATGAGACTGTGAGTTATATGTCCAGAGAGCAGAAGAGACAAAGAATGGGCAAGGGAAGTACTTTAGAAGAGAGCACAGAGCCTCATCTAGACAGATCACTAAAGTGGCCTGGCTGTCTTCCCCTCCTCTGAATTGCACTTTGACAATATGCTCCACTATCAGAAAACAAGAGATAGGGGAAAAAAGTGGGGTTGTGAATGTAGAAAGCCTTGTTTATGAACAGTTAGAAGTCACAACCCACTTAGCATGTGAAGAAGGCAACAAAGATCAAGTTTTTATCCAAGCTCTGCCACTCTATGGCTGTGACTTTTGACAAGTAACTTAACTTCCTTGCACATCTCTAAAGTAAGAACAATAATAAATACTTTGCAACCTATGAGGAATGAAAGGCCATGGTGGGCACAAATTAAATGACAACTTGTCTTCCTACTGTCTTCTTTATTGAAATGAAATGTTATAGACATCAAAAAGTCTATACATGGAAAGGTTTATCACTTTCTTTTCAATATGTGCTTAGTTACTGCAAACAAGTAATATTTGTATTTCTTTAATTATTCTCTTAAATTGATATTGTATTTCTTCTACAGATAAAAGCTCTGATGCAGACATTTTCCCCAAGCCCACAATTTTCCTTCCTTCAGTTGCTGAAATAAATCTCCATAAGGCTGGGACACATCTTTGTGTTCTTGAGAACTTTTTCCCTGATGTTATTAAGGTATATTGGAAAGAGAAAGGTGGTGATAGGATTCTGGAATCCCAGCCCGGAAATACCATGAAGACTAAAGATACATACATGAAGATGAGCTGGCTCACCGTGACTGGAAAGTCAATGGATAAAGAGCACAGATGTATCATCAAACATGAGAAAAATAAAGGAGGAGTTGATCAAGAGATTCTCTTTCCTGCAGTGAATAAAGGTATGTGCATTTGTATGTAAATATAAACTTCCAGAAAAAATATTTGAAAGGGAATCATTCACCTTTTCAATCAAGTAGTAATGAAAAACAAGTATAAGTCTTTCTTAAAAATCATATTTCAGGGTAGTATGAATTCCCTGTTATTTTCCTTATTGAAATAAAATGTTATAGACATCAAAAAGTCTATACATGGAAAGATTTATCTTAGCCTTTCTCACTTTCTTTTCAATATTTAAAAAATTAAAACCACAGACTGCATTTTTAAAATTTTGTGTGGATTAAACAAAACAACATACATAAAAGCATTTAGCAGAATGTTAATGCTGAAAAGTAATTTCCACTTTTGATGATTTTATTTGATTTAGAAATCAGAACAATTACAGATCTTTCAGGAATGTTCTGCCATATAAGCAAGTCACAGACTTCAATCTTGCCATGCACAAAGTTCAATGTACAAAGAAGGAGTATTTAGTTAACAAAATGATGCTCAGCAGGACTTAGAGCATAGTTCAAAAAGCAAGAAATAATATATGAATCAAATGCATGATATGTCAAAATCATTGTATTGGCTTGAGCAACTAATAAAAAAGAAAGAAAGAAACAACCTTGGCCACTGAAGTTTTGTGGTGGCCTGAGTTGTTCTGATTTTTATTTTATATATTACTGTTAGACAAAATTTCCTAACGTATGCTTGAATGAGGCTAACATGTATGAAGAGAGTTCATTTCTCTGCGATGCATATATTTCTTGCCATTAGTAAATGCAGCTACATAACATTTCCTGTTCTGCTAGCACACACCAGGACTGAGTTGGAATATGGATGAATAGTCTAGGATTAGTGCCCCAAGTACTTCCTGCTGCAGCCAAGAGTGAATCCTCTTTCCCTATCACTCAGGATCACACATAACTCAGAACCCATGTCCCAGAAGAATCCTTTTTGATGCAGTAGGGTACAATCCACACAGCTGGGCAGAGGCCTGAATGTGCAGAGGCCTTGCAGTGGTCCAGTGACTCACCAGGCATCACAGTCCTGAGTGTTAAACATCAGTCGAAATGCCCCACTGGGCATGGGAAGCAATCTGTTTGTAATTTTCCTTATGACTGCAAGACCAATTTTTACCAGTAAGGAACATGCACGTGGCAAAAGGGGTGAAGACCTTTGCCACAAACCACCGAGATTTCCCAAGTAAGGCTTCAGTCTCTGGGACCCTTACTTTCTGCAATGACCAATGAGGTTGCCTGATTTTCCCTGGAGATATGACAAAGATCAAATGAAATACTGTCAGCAGAAAAAAGCTAGATCATGGATTCAGTTATTTATTTATTGCACTTATTTATAGCCTTTCCTAAAACAAACTAAAGTAAGAATACAAAGACAGTCCCAATTTTCTATTTCCCTTGCTGAGAAACAGAAGAGAGACAAATATGTAAAGCACAAGGTTAAGTCAACCACTATGCTTACGTGCCCAAATACGTTCAGATTTTTTCTAGTGATCAGGGAAAAATAAAAATAATAATAATTTCCATAGTGATGAATATCATGTAAGAGAGAGGCTTCAGTTTAATAATGATTTACTAGGCACTAAATTTTAAAACAAATTCCTCTCATGAACTTCCATGGCTCCAGAGCTGAGGAGGGAGCTTCTGTCCATGTCATTCTAAAGTGCTTTTCCAGTGGTGATTCTTGAAAAATTTTTTATACAGATAGCACTTAGAAGTACAAATGAATGAAATTATTATTTTTATGGTAAATAAAGTTAATCAGTTCCACTTTATAACCAATATTGACTTAGTCAACTTAGAATACACAGATTTTATTTTTAAGGACTCTGCTTTATTCTTTTTTACCTCAATCAGTTCAAATCAGTTCATGATGATAGTGATTTTCATTTATCTTTTAGTGAATAAAGTCACTTTAAGAAAACTAATATACTTTCAAGATCCAAAAGTCAGTGATTGAAAATATTTCAAATCTAAACATGACAATACTCACATTTATGTTTTGGGACAAACTCCAAAAGGCCTATACCCCAACTGCATCTTTAAAAGTATAAACAGAAAACTCAGTGTTCAACGAAAATCCATATTGGAAGTATATTCATAAGAACAAGAACATATCTAGAGAAAAATAATAAAATAAAACAACCATTGTGACTCTGTCTTTTAATCAGTTAAAAATGTAATTTTTGTAACATTTTTGATTTTTTAAAAATGGTGTGTGTGTATATATATATGCACACAATTATATGCATAAGGCTATATACACATATATACATATGTGTGTGTGTGTGTGTATAACCTCTAGTTTTATTCAGAGAGTTAGAAATGTGACTTGGCCTCTCTTTCTCTTCTCTGAAAGACTTTCATGGAAATGCTGAGCTCCTGAAACAGGAAAAGGTCTTTGGCTAAGAATAATTAAGATCCTATAGGAGAAGATTTCCCTTTTGTCCACATTGGTGGAATTATTTATCTATAAATTATTTTGTGTATGTTTCTATGGATTATTTTAAAAACTACTTCCCTCATGTACATGAAGCATTTAACCAGGATCTTGGCACAGCAGTGTTCATTTAATAGTTACTAGATTGTGTCAGTATTGACATCCTCATGCCCACAAATATCACATCTCTAGCAATTCATGTGCATGAACCAGGGACATTGGGAATATACATGACTTGGAAAGATATAGCTGCTGTCTTCTGTTCAGATGAGGAATTTCTTTAAATCAGACTCCTTTGAATGTGTTTGATTCTGTTGTCAACTCAGATTGGATGGATTTCTTTGGGGCTCAACATTTCACGTTAGTAATGTGTGCTGGATCCTGTAAAGATGCCAATTTTCTGCTTCTTATTCCATTGAATATGTATTTGTGGATCACTACCTTTGGGTAATTTCCTGGGTGAGGAGCTATGAATACAGAGCAGAAACACATAGTCTTGGATGTGCATTCAGGTTGTGATAGAAGGAAAAAGAAATGTAACATTTTTGAAGTTCACTTTTTTGGATAGAACAAAACAGTTGTAATTTAAAAATACATATGTATGTATACATATGTGTGTATATACATATACACAAACATATACATATATAAACTTTTGGAACTTCATCATCTTCATTTGCATATCCATAACATACAAGTACTATTAACTGAATCAGACAACAGTTATTTTTGAAACAGTGAGGCTCCCATTTTTAATGTGTATCTCTCTCGTATGTGTGGACAAATTGAATACATTAAATATCGGATAATAGAGTTGAATAATTGACTGCTATTTGCTCTCATTGCTTTTAGTTTTCACCACAATGAAACCCAGAGAAGCCAATTTGAAAGATGGATATGGTGAGTTTTAGAATGTGCTTGCCTTCATCTCATGCCATATCATTTGTCCACTATTGATCATCCTAACTTTTGAACTTCCTTCATGTAAGTAGAAAACTCAGAATGTCTGGTTGCTTCAGAATAGACTGAATGGCATTTCACATTATCCATCATTTCCTTCATGTCACATTAATACAGAAAACTACTGATCTTTTTATGAGTAGTAAATTAGAGGATATAGTACAACGCTCTGAAGCATTTCAACAAAGGGAATTCATTCATTTACTTGATTCTTGTTTGTATGACTAGAGAAAGAATGATATCAAGTTACTCTAGCTTTGTTTTGTAATCGTAGGTAAATGAAATTGTCAGTCTCAGTCTCTGTTTGGAGAATTAGAAATGTGACTTGGCCTATTTTTTTCCTCCCCAGAAGGAATCGTGCTGAAATGCTCAGCTCCTATTATTTTAAATAGGTGGCATTGTCTAAGGGTACTAAAGATATTAGGAGATTATGTTATCTCTACTCATTACTTTCTCACATTTATGTGCATTATTTTACAAAGTAATTTGCACAAGCCCTCTTTTAATTTCCCTCAACATCCTTTGAATTCTGGCCCTGCCACTCGCTGGTATGATTCTTGGAAGGCTAAATGTACTCTTTACATTTTATTTTCTCATTCATGGCACGGGAACTTTCATGATACAACACTTAAGAGTGAATGAAGACTTAAAACAATACAAAGCTTGTGAGGCATTAAAATAGTGCCTATCAAATAGTGATCAATCAATAGGTACCAATTTCATGAATATTGATGTGTCATGTCCACAGTCACCATACCTCCAGAAAATTATGTGCATCAATAAAGAATATTGGAGATACGTATGAGGTGGAAAGGTACAGCTGCTTTCCTGTATTTACATTAAAAATTTCTCTAAATCAGACTCTTTCCTCCCAGTGTTGATTCTAGGAGTAGATGGATTCTTTTGGGGTTCAGCACTTTGAATTAGTGGTGTTTGCTGGATTCTATGAAGCAGACAATTTTCTATTTATTTTTTCATTGAACGTGTATTTGAGTATCACTGTTTTGGAGCACATACTGGATGAGGAGCTGTTAATACAGCAGAAAACTAGAGAGACTTGGATATCATATTCCAGTTGTGGTAAAAAGGAAAAAGTTATCCATCATGAAGGTCAACATCTTTCTTTACAAAAACATAATATATGAAAGATACTTACTGAATTACATAGAGTGGATCTAATTACTTTTTAAATTATGGGGAACATATTTCAAATTATTGTCTCTCTGTTCTTGACAGACTTATGTATTTATTTATATGCATAGTAAGTATAAGTGTGCACGTATACATACACTTTTAACTAATAGAGGAATTATTGACTAGTACTTGCTCTCTTTTTCTTTTAGCTGTCACCACTATTAATCCCAAAGAAGCTGATCTGGAAGTTGAAAATGGTAGGTTTTAGTGTATGTTTACTTTTGAAATTCCCTAGATTAAGGAAAAGCCAGAGTACCTGCATGTTGCAAAATAGACTAAGTCACATTTTAATTAACCCACCATAACCTAGAACTTAGAGTGCATAAATACAACTCTTGTGTCAAGTTTTATTCAGAGAAATAGAGATGTGACTGTTCTACCTTCTAGGAAATAATTGAACAAAAATACTCCCCCCACTAAAATGGGCTAGTTAAAAAATATCTCATGTGCTGAGAGTAATTAAAATACAAGAAGATTTTCTACTATACTCTTTATACTAAATTTTTAATTCATTATATGGGACCATCCATAATTCAGACTACTTAACACATTTGGCATTTGGTTAGTGGATGGTGAATATTATCTATTATATTTACTTAGAGACATATTGAGGGTGAAGAGAATCTAAAATCTAGTTTCACACATACGTTTGTCTTTCACTGGATTCAAACATTACAAGCAAAGTCTTAATGTTTTAATATTATGAGGTTCTAAGTGAGTATGGCAGAGGTTGTTAATGGACTTGACTTGCAAGCTGAGCCTTGCACTGAGTGGTTTGGGTGGGAGTGGTAGATGTTGACCTTTGGGGTTTGGTGGGGGTGGTGTCACTTCAGTGTAGGTCACCAAAAATAAATACCTGTGGCACCCTCCCCCATGAGGGGGCTTTTCCTGTCAAAGATGGGTGAAACTAATTGCCTGACTTCTCTTAGATGCACTGAGGCTGCAGCTCACATACACCTCTGCCTACTGGACCTACCTCCTCCTGCTGCTCAAGAGTGTGGTCTACTTGGCCATCATCACCTTCTGTCTGCTTAGAAGAACAGCTGTTGGTGGCAATGGGAAGAGCTCCTAACAGATGGTAGCATAACACGGTCATATTATCTTTATAGTTTATTTTCCTGAAAAGTTTCTGCTTAGGACTTAGCAGACTAGCAGCTAGGTTCAGGCTTCTCAGTTTTCATATGTATTCTTTTGTCATTATTGCATAAAGATTTTTCAAACCAGTGAAAACTCCAGGAATTTCATCTTCTAACAAGAAGCCCATGGTAGCCTCTGGCCTCACTGTAAAAAAAAATCAATATTCTTTTCCATCTTTTAAAATATGCACCTCATTATCATTATTCTAGTTCATTCCCATATTGCTTTGTTTATCGATCTATAGAAAATTTCCTCAAATTAAATAGTTTCAGACTTTTAGGCAAAATTACACATTCATTGACATCTGAATGAAGCAATAATAACAAACACTTGTATAGTGCTCACTATGTACCAGATACTGGATTAATTGTGTGCTACCTCATCTAATTCTCACAAGCACATCTTGAGTTATGTACAATTTCATCTATCTATAGAAGGGGAAATTGAAGCACCAAGGGCTAACAAGTCCCCGAGAGCTAATAAGCAACAGAATTTCCAGAATTTCCTAAACATCTTCTAACAAGAAGCCCATGGTAGCCTCTGACCACTCCAGCCAGCCCAAATCATCAAAGCCTTGGTAGAAATGGCATGTAGCTTCTAATCACAGCCTTTAGGGTCTTGTAACCAGAGACCATTAAAACCCTTACATTCTGTACACCCCAAAGCAGCCTTCTTTGCTACTTGGCTTCTGTGTTTGCTTTTTTCTTTTTTCTTTTTTTTAAATAGGATAACTTCATTTATGTATGAGACTAAATTTCTAAAGACAATATTGGTAAAAATAAACTAGCAATGTATAAAGAATGAATAAAAAGTGTTTCTTCCAGATATACAAGAATGGGTTAACATAAAATCCTTGAGTAGAATTTATCACATGAATTGTATTGTTAAATCTTATTACCAGGCTTTTTTTTCCTGTGTGTCATTTTTTCTAATTTATTTTATTTATTTATTTTTATTTATATATGACAGCAGAATGCATTACAATTCTTATTACACATATAAAGCACAATTTTTCATATCTCTGTTTGCATACACAGTATATTGACACCAATTTGTGCCTTCATACCTGCATTTTGGATAATAATGATCATCACATTTCACCATCATTAATAACCCCATCCCCTCCCTTCCCCTCAAACCCCTACCCTATCTAGAGTTCATCTATTCCTTCCATGCTCCCACTCCCTATCCCACTATGAATCAGCCTCCTTTATGTCAAAGAAAACATTCAGCATTTGGTTTTTAGGAATACAGTTTACTTGGGGCCAGTTGTACTTTAAATGGATGAAACTGAATGAAGGTCCACAGTGAGGAGCATCATTACAACTAGCCATGACTTCAAGCCTTGGTGTTAACAAGGGTCCAACACTGATTTCCAATTCTGTTCCTGAGATAGGGATCATGGGATTACCTTGAGGCACAAGCTCCATAGCCAAATGAAGACACTCACATTTCTGCTCTTTTAAAGATGGTAGGCTCGAGTTCATTGGGTTGAAGACATTCACATGAAAACAGGAAAACAACTAATGTTACTTGGCTCTGTGTGTGCTGAGCTCTGTGCTAGAGTCTCAAAAGCAACATATTTCCCCATACTCACTATAACAACGTAAGTGCTGCAATAAACCCCAAGGGGTAGTGAAACAGAGGAGTTGTGTTGCTGGACCCAAGTTCTTGGGTCTAGAATGTCGTATTTGGGTGACCTCAAAGTCTTGCTATCTCTCTGCCATAATTTCTTCCTACAAATGAAGTTGAATTCCCTGTGTCCTGGAGCTCTGTGGGTTAGGTGAGTTGGTAATGCTTGGTGCAGACAAGCAAGTCTGCCACAGCACTTGCACATGCTCCACTCTACATTAGAAATTGTGGGGACCACACTCACATACAGTCAAAAGCACCAAAGACAATCTCTGTTCTTCTCTACAGAGAGGATGGGTGCGATGGAGCAGGGACTTAGCTTCTACCAGGCACCAGGCATTCCATGAACCCTCTATGATCCCTTTTAAGGTAGGCACAATTATGGTGTATAGTTGATAGACTGGAAAATATAATTTTTCTATTAAGGTCATTTTTTAAGTGATACTCATAATTTTAATTCAGGTCTCTGTGAACCCAGAATCTAAGTAGATACCCATATGTAATTGACACAATAGAATCTCTTTCTTTCACACATTTTAATTTGAAAAAATAAAATACAATCAAACACATGTTGTGCTTCTTTACTAAAGGCATTCTCCAATGAGTCAGGGTTTCCTTAAGGCTTTGAGTGCATAAAGAAGTTTTCTCTTCACATACACATCATTCCACTTGTTTGCCACTAACTTCCAAATTGTCTTTTCTCTTTAAAGTGTGACCTACTCTGGAATTGCTATCATTTGTCCCCTTGTTTTAGGTAGAATAGAATTTCTCCCTTCCATTTTAAGTGTGCATCCTTGATCGGCCACTTCTCTTTTGGGGAAAAAACTGTGAAATTCAGGTCCTCTCTGGGTATAAGTTCTGACTTCCTAGCTCCTTCCATAGACTGACTGAGCCCTGAGTTCCTCACAATCACCTTGGGGAGCATTCTGAGGTGTCCAGCTGTGTTTCTGAGGCAAGAGGTTGGTTATGCATCCTTATTGGTCCAGTCTTTTCCACCACAACACAATTTCCCCCATGTAATGAGGCCCCATGGTGTGGTAGGAGGAATCCTGGACCAGGAGTCACACTTCACAGCCAAATAGAGCAATGGCTACTTAGTCGGCCCTAACTAGCTATACCATTTGCTCTTTTTATTAAAATGACACATAAAATCTGTACATATTTATGAAAGCTTGTGGTATTGATACATGTGTACTTTATAAATGTTTAAATTAAAGTAAGAGTATATATCTCCTCAAGTATTTACCATGTTGCCATTAAAACATTCAAAATTCTTTTCCACCTTTTAAAATATGCACCTCATTATCATTATTCTATTTCATTCCCATATTGCTTTGGTTATCCATCTTTAGAAAAAATGTCTCAAATTAAATAGTTTCAGACTTTTAGGCAAAATTACACATTCAGTGATTGCCATCCAAATGAAGCAATAATAACAAACACTATACAGTGCTCACTATGTACCAGATATTGGTTTAATTGTGTGCTATCTCATTTAATTCTCACGAGCATATCTTGAGTGATGTACAACTTCATCTGTCTATAGAAGGGGAAACTGAAGCACCAATGGCTAACAAGTCCCCCAGAGCTAATAAGCAACAGAATTTCCTAAACAGCCTGACTTCAGCATCTATGCTCTTACATTCTATATTTTTTTGCTCCTAGAATAAAAACTATGATGCTTCATTAAAATCTCCAAGCTAATCCCCCAAATCCAAAGACCAAATGTTTTCTCTGATATATTGGTACTAATTCACAATATGGGGGTGGGGTGTTAGGGAAGAATAAAAGTACTTTGGATTACACAATAGAATGAATTAGATATTTCTATGTGCATAAAAATGTAATTATACATCATATACAACCAGAAGAATGAGAAGTTATACTCCATATATTTAATTATGTCAGAATATATTCTACTGTCGTGTATAGCTTAAAAAAATTGTGAAGAGAGTGGCCTCCTTACCAGCTGCATTTCCTCTGCTGGCTCCTGTGCTGTTCTTACTATTAGAGGGCTAGAAGCCAACCTGCCACACAATTTTCATGCTGGGAAAACCTTTACACACTGAGCTTCAACCCACCAATAGGCCTTCTGTGACTCAAGTCCACGCCACATGGCTGGATGAAATAAACAGGAGAATAGTGGGCTTCATCCACAGGTGGTCAATGGAAAAATGGGGTAAATGTTTATACAGTTTCACAACATAGACAGTTGAGTCTCAATTATCATTCATTGAATTAGAGTATTTCATGTACTTCTTATCTTTAAAAAACTTAAATAATTTCATATGTTTTCAATCATTTTACAAAGCAAAAATTTCCAGAAAAGAGTTCTCAAAAAGTTCTCTTCACTGCTTTGAAATTATTTTCCCCATGAACTTCATTTTTGTGAAGGCTTTTGTCTAAATATCAAACTACACTGATTAATTGATTTTCTGCATTGTATAATCAAGGTCCCATACAGCTGTCAAACTAGAAATTCAGAGTGCTAAGACAGAACCAGAGATAATACACCATGATAATATAATTCAGCCAAAAGACTAGAATTCAACATTTTTGTGAGCCATGAACACTTATGTCACTGAATGCATGGTTCCCACCTTCTTCTATTAGACTAGTTATTGGTTTGCTTTTTGTTTTCTTTAAAGATATACCACTTAACATCAGGAATTTCACAGGGAAGTTCATGTTCTCTCCAGTGCACCACCATATAGCTATTATGTCCATTTCACTGACAAACCAGATCTTAGAGACCAAAGTTAATCACACAGTAACCCCAACGTTAAATATGCCTGAGGATAACCAGTAAATCACAATGACAAATATGCCTGTATTGAACACTGAGTGAACCCAGAGTTCACATGATTCCAAGTCTGACTGGAGACCTGCTGCTCTGTCCTTCTGCCTCTGGGTCTCTCTATCTTCATGGGAGCCCCCGAGAGTCCCTGAGGCATGGACCTTATCACAGGCAGGGTACAGGAACTTCAAAAAAGTATCTATGCACAGCCAGGAGTGAGGCTTGCAAGATAATGAAGTACCTTCAAAAGAAGTACAGGACAGCTAGCTCAGATTGGAATCCATGAGGAGCCATCATGGAGAGAGCACAGGACCCATATATATGTACATGCATGCCAAAATTATGTGGAAAGATGTTCATTCAATATATTGATACATAGATAAAACCTAGATTAAACCATATGCCCAATAAGAAATTAATGCAATTAAAGATGTCATTGGATAGATCAATATTCATGTTCAAAATTGAAATTCATTGAAGAAATATAAAATAATCATGGTATCAAATATAATATATATGCATATATAAAGATGTTATTGAAATATACACATTATGAACTTACTGAAACTGTTAGGTAATACATTTATATTCAAAACATTCTACTTGAAATT